TTTAAAAAATAATAGGGGTATTCTTTATGAAGTAAACAGTTCACGCCCTTGAAAAAAAAAAAAGTAAATCCCAAAAGTACCTTTTCCAAGCAAAAAACTAATCAGTCATAAATATTTTTTTATGACAAAACGCAGATAAGAGTAGCTGAAGAAACAGGCCTGATATTTAGATTTTTTTTTTAAAAAAAAAAATCAAGGAAGAAATATATTCCAAATCCCTCTGATGCTATGCATCTTCCCTCCTGGGTTGCCCAGACGGAATTGCATTTCCCCAAGTACTACAAATAATAACATATTAACCCCTTGAATCTGGCTACATCGCAGGAATCACATGGACCAAATGCGGGCTATGTATAGGTTATGTAAGTGGCCATTCTGCTTGGTGTGTGGCATGTAGGCTTGGAACACATGAACACTTGTGTGCGGTGACAAGAATCTATCCCTCCTCTTTGTAAAGTTATTTTGCATAAATATTTTAAACTTTTTTACCACTTTCCAATAAACAAATGTCTTTTTTCCTTGTACAGACTCCATATCATCTCTCTGTGTAGTAAATAACTTATGTATGTATGCAAAAAAAAATTATTTGTTATATATTATATATTTTGTAATGTTAAATTTTCTGTAATACAACCTGTGCCATCAGTCACCAGAGCCAGGAATACGATACCGAGCATGGAAATGGTGTCCTCCCTAGAGCCAACACTCTTCCAGTCATGGCATACAGACATTACATTCCACACTCATTTATCAATAAAAATGATGCGAAAACCCCTTTTTAAATGCCAAATCCGTCAAATTTATCCTCCAAGAGGTTTGTGCACTCATGGTGAGCCTTTTTCGTCACCCTGGCCTTTGTTCATGACGGCAAATTTTTGTCACCCAGTCCGTGAGGACAAGTTCACAGCACCCGGCCCTCAAGGCAAATTTCTTCATGACATGATAGTCATGTTACCTGGATTGAAGAGGTTAATTAATGAATAACTATTCAGATCACCCCCCACCCCTTTAGATATTACTATGCAGTTTTTAGATTTTGTAATGCTAAAATACCCATATTATATGTGCATTGATGTGTTATATAAAGTAGTTTTTTTGTTTTAAGTCCTAAATTTTTCAGCGCCGTGTGTACAAAGAAAATGTCATTCCACCAAAAGAACTGAAGAATATCATGGAGAGAGAGACATATGATAAGGCAAGAGCTTACAGCTTGGACAAAAGCAAGTTCGGTTTGGTGGAGGGAGCTTTCAACCAGATACTGAGTACAGTAAGTATTGCTGCAGTTTTTTTGTTTTGTGTTCTGTTTCACCTCCCATTGCATAACAGCAGAATCAAAGCTAATCTCTACTTTTTTTCTTTATTGTCTTCAAAATGCTTAGGCCATTCATAGACCATACCTTGACACTGCTGCACTGGAATGCCACAGTAGCATAGTAGGATAGGAAGCCAATGAAAGTAGCATTTTCAGGACTGACTTTTTCTCTCTCCCCTATTTCATGAAATTACAGTTCCTTATAATAATGCATTATTTGGTTTAAGTCAGGTTGAAATTAGATTTTTTTTTTTTTTTTTTTTTTTTCCTCCTCCTCCTCCTCCTTCCTCCTCCTCCTCCTCCTCCTCCTCCTCCTCCTTCCTCCTCCTCCTCCTCCTCCTCAAAGTCCCTTTTTCTCTCTCCCCTATTTCATGAAATTACAGTTCCTTATAATAATGCATTATTTGGTTTAAGTCAGGTTGTAAGCTTTTTTTTCCCTCCTCAAAGTGTCCCATTTTAATTTCAAAATTAAAAAATGTACCTGCCTGCAGCTCCCATAGCAGACAATCATATTAGATCTGTAGGTCATATGTGCTTTTTACCAGGGTCAATTGCACATCCAACACACAAATTTATGTATTACACTTTAGATGTACACAAGATATTCTTCTTTTCCCCTAGGGCATCATGGTGTATGGAGGATTTCCTGCACTGTGGGCAGCATCTGGCCAGTTTATTCAATGGCTTGGCTTCAGTCCTGAGGCTGAGATCCCCCAGACTGTGGCTTTTGTGTGTATTGGTTCCCTGCTGAACAACATCCTCTCCCTTCCCTGGTCTGCATACTATACTTTCAAGGTAGAACAGAAGCACGGTTTCAACAAACAGACTCCTGGATTTTTCATAAAGGATAAATTCAAGAAATTTGTTGTTTCCCAAGTGATTGCCTCACCAGTTGTAGCTGGTCTTGTATATATTATTAAGGTAAGTATAGTAGATTGAAGATAATAATAATAATAATAATTATTATTATTATTATTATTATTATTATTATTATTATTATTATTATAATAATAATAATAATAATAATTATTAATTATTATTATTATTATTATTATTATTATTATCATTATTATTATTTGATCTCTTATTTTTTACAGATAAGATTTTGAACACAGCAAATTCTTTTATTTAGGAAATTATATTCTACTCCATTTTTTTTTCTGTCTTTTTCTCTTTCTTTTCTTTCTTTCTTTCTTTTTCATTTTTTATTCCTTTCTTTCTTTTCTTTCTTCCCTGCTTTCTTTCAGCTGAAGGTATATAATGTATAGTACTGAATACAAACTGCAAAACTTTTGACATCAGATATACATAGGTGTATCATTCAGCAAATAGATTGGTCACCAGTTGTGAAATGCATCTGTGCATTTGAGTCTAGTGCATTCTACTGTGTGTTTAGTAGGCTGAGAGGTAGGAAAGCCCTCTTTGTACTACAATTGTGGGGTCCATAACAACCAAATTTTTTCCCTAATTGCTACTTGTTCCTTCAATATCTGTACAAACTACACAATTTCATTACATGGTTGATGGAGTTTATTGATAATTATTACACGATACTAGCCCTATAGAAAAAAAAAGAGAGAGATAGAATAGGGAATGATGACATGGCTAAACAAAAGGCATTCTTTGTTTTTTAGACAAAGGGTAGTCATATATTTATATATTTATTTATGACAAACATAAATTTTTATTTGAACTTATTATTTCTTTTGTATTCACTTTTTTCATGATAACAGGCTGGTGGGGATTACTTCTTTGTCTACCTTTGGGGATTCACAATGGTCGTTGTGATGTTCTTCATGACCGTCTACCCTGACTACATTGCGCCACTCTTTGACAAGTACGAACCTCTGCCAGAGGGGGAGCTTAAGTCAAGGATAGAGGAGCTAGCAGCACAGATTGAATTCCCCCTCACAAAGTTATATGTTGTCGAAGGTATGTGGATGAATTTTTAATGTGTGTCTGTGTTTTTTTTTTTTTTTTTTTTTTTTTTTTTTTTTTTTTTTTTTTTTTTTTTTTTGTGTGTGTGTGTGTGTGTGTGTGTGTGTGTGTGTGTGTGTGTGTGTGTGTGTGTGTGTGTGTGTTCTTCTTTTTGAAGATGGAGGATTAATATAAGGTGGATGGACAGCAGGGCTAAATATCCAGGTTAAACCAGTTTGTGCTGAGTACATGCATTGTTGACTTTACTTTTGACTTGTAAAAATTGGTTACACTTTGTTGACTTGACAAGTGCTTCGTTGGGCGGCTTCAAAATCGGTGCGCGGGCCAGTCCGGAAAAAATCAGGATCAAAGGCCAGATGGCGTGAATGTTCCGTCGTCAGCCAAATGACTCAACATGAAAGCCAAAGACTTGTGTCCCTAACTTGCGCGGGCCAGACCTTAAACAAAATGCGGTCAGCCTGACCCAGTGGGACATTGACTAACTTGCCGCTTGCTTTAGCAGCATCAATAAACGAATGTGGAATGTAAGGTGCTTAAGCTGTGACTGGAAGTGCTTCAGCTCTTGGGAGATGCAATTTCCATGCTGCACACCATATTCCTGCCCACTGTGACCACAGGTTGTATTAAGGAAAATTGAAAATTACAAAAAAATTAGATATATGACAAAGAAGACCAAATGTTCCATACTTTTTTTTCCCCCCTCCATTTCATTGAGTTATTTACTACATAGAGATATGATATTGAGTTTATGCAAGGGAAATAAGCTATTACCATCTGGATAAAGTAAATCAAAATACAAATATGGCCATTAGAAAATGGCAAAAAGGCTAGAAAAAAGTTTACAGAAAATAACTTTACAAAAGGGAGACAGTCTTTTCACCGCTTATGGTTGTTCGCATGCACCCTGCCAATGCACTGCTTGCATGGATAGTTAGCTACTTACGTAACTCACTGCCTGTATTCTTGGCATCATAATTTCTGTGACGCAACCAGATCCTGCAGCTGTAGGAGGCGACTATTTTTCTTGAACGAAGTTGTTGAGATATAATGAAATAACTGGACAGAAACAATGTAGGTGCTTGGACAATATTATGTGTTATATTCCTTTTTTTTTCCTTATCTTATCTCTTCTTAATATGTCTTGCTTTATTATTCCCTGCTAATGCTGTTTCATCCTCCTTTCCCTTTTTAAGCATAATGCTTTTCTTTTCATATGCAGTATTTACACCTTGTATATATTTTTCTCCAGGATCAAAGAGATCAGCCCACAGCAATGCTTACTTCTACGGCTTCTTCAAGAATAAGCGCATTGTTTTGTATGATACATTGCTAGAAGAGTACACACCACTGAATGAAAAGGAAGGTGAGAAAGAAGAGAAAGAAACTGAAAACAAGGAAAAGAAAAAAACTGGTTGTAATACAGATGAGGTGCTTGCTGTATTGGGACACGAGTTGGGTCACTGGAAACTCAATCATGTATTGAAGGGGATCATTATTTCTCAGGTAAATATAATCTTGTTGAATTTGGGAACTGAAGAATGTCAAGAACATAACTGTGGTTCATTTGGTAATTGAGGAACATCAGATAAGGGGATTGATTTTATGTATCTAGACTTGTTTGTAATAGGTTATTTGAACAAGTCTGCAAAATAGGCTAATTGTGTATTCTTTCATGATATGAATGTAGACTGAATTGATATTTCTTTTGCTGCAGTTAGGTTTTTCATAGTCCAACATAAATTTAGAACAGAAAGTGCCATATGTTGACTAGGAATTTGAAGAAAAATTTCTTATTTATTTACTTATCTAGCCATAGAAGACCTCTTTAATGGTATATATGATAATCTTTCAGGTTAATTTGCTGCTGGTTTTCTCTGTGTTTGGTTCCTTGTACAAGTATTCACCTTTGTACAATGCATTTGGGTTTCACCATAGTCAGCCTGCATTCATCGGTCTCATCATTGTGATGCAGTTCGTCTTTGCTCCGTACAATGAGGTATGAATATGCCAACCCTTAGGTTTCAGTGTGTTTGAATCACTATGCATCAACGCCATGATTTATCATATAGTCACTTCCCATTGTACAGTTACATATGTAAACATGCAATTTTAAGCTCTCAGATGTTTTGCAATTATCATATGTTCCCCAGTAATAAGAAATATTTTAAAGGTTTGTGTTTTTGGTCTGAGATATTTAATTGTTGAAATTCACAACAGAGTCCACTGGTGTTTTTCAGATTTTACAGTTCCTGCTGACCATGTTTAGCAGACACAATGAGTTCCAGGCTGATGCTTTTGCAAAGGAGCTGAACCATGCCACCAACTTGATATCAGCACTTATCAAGCTGAACGAAGACAACCTTGGCTTCCCAGTGTACGACCCCCTGTTCTCGGCCTGGCACCTCTCTCATCCACCAATTCTTGAGAGGATTCGGGCATTAGAGGAAAAGAAGAAAGAGTAATCTTTCCTTTGCATAGGTTGCATTTTTAATTTTGATGAATGTAGTCTTTTTCATTCTTTCTTTCCTTCTCTTTTGTAAGAGAATACAATGGGTCTATTTTTTCTAATTGTAGCATGATAGTAATTTCGTATTCCTTTTATAAATATAAGTGAAACTCATATGCACAATGTCTGTTATTTTTAGGCAGTGTTATTTGGAAAGGAGACAATAGGCCTGACATGCATTGTGAATATAGGATGTTGGTTGTCTTGTTTTTTTTGTGATATTTTATTTTTCATATTTACATTCAAGTTCTTTCTCAATACACATTGTCTTCAATGTATTTCTTTCAAGTAAATGATTGAATATGTTGTTGATGTATGACCAGATATGAAATAGGTATGGAAGGGCTCTATTATATATTTTTCTGTTTTGAATGCTACAAGATAAAGTTGATAGATATGAAGTTAATAAAAGGAAAGTATCCTTGGATATTTCAGTTTATTTGAAATGTGATTATTCTCAAGGAGTGTATTGCTAAGGAAATTATCATTACTTTTGCCTCAAGGTCATATGTGAAGATGCTCAGAAGAATGTAAAAAAAAAAAAAAAAACTTTTTACATTTATATGTTTAAACCACAAATGTCTTTGATGCTATCCTAAAATCCTAACTGCAAAGTTTGAATTCATACCATTTTGGATATTTTGATGTCTGGTGGAACAGTATGGTGAAACCATTTTTTGAAAGGGATATTTCAAAGGAAAATTTCCTGGAACTTATGTACATCAGTTATGTAGTGAGATGAGGTATTTGGCATTAGCACTCTCTTATTAGTACTTGTAATGATTAAAGGCTAAATTGAAAGAGTTATTAATTATTTATCATTAAAAATCTGAAGTAGTTTCAGTGCCTGTCTAACAAATCTATTGAAAATCTGTACAGCCTAGCATAAAGACAAGAAAAGAATAACCCTCACAGGGAATAAGGCTCCTTATATTACTCTTGGTGTACACTTGCCAGTATACTTTGACAATCATTGATTATAAGGGCCTTTATTTTGTATTATTTTCCCTCCTAATATCATGCTAATTGTTGTCATGGCGGGCTTAGGAGATGGAGACTGGTACCCTTTATAGGCATTACCCCAACCTTGGATTTCAGCCCACATCTCAACTCATTTTACTTGGTCTTTTCTTCTCCTCCTTTCCTCTTCCATATCTTTTTCATCCCCTTTTGTCCCATTCCTAAGTTGAGAGAACCATGCTGAAAGGAGTAAAGGATGGCTTTATGTCAGTCACCCTCCCAGTACTTTGCTCGTTGTTGTTGTGGGAGGGCTTGGGAGATGAAGACTGAGGCCCAATGTAGGGGATTACCCATTTCTTGGATCTCAGCCCTTGCCTCAGGCTGATCTCGTGCCAGTCATGAACAGCCTCAGGGAGTCACGGGCACGGTATTCCTTGATAAATCATTTAGCCCTTACCCCTTACAGGGACCCTGAGGGGTGGACCATTTTTTACCTTCCCCACATAAAACCAGGCTTACCATGGCCAGTAATGAAGATTTTGTACCCTTATTAGGGGCATTGAGGCTTGCCCCTTTATCAAATAGCCTCTCTGAATCTAAATCCTCTAGTTTATTGACCCCTGACTCCCCTTTGACCACGGCTTGGAACACTACTAATACACCTCTTTCCTCTATACACACTACCAACCTAACCCATCCTGAATCATCTACCCAGATACTAACTCAACCCTTAGAAGATATGCCATCCTCACTCCCAACATCATCCAGCCCACTTCCTGAACAATCATTTTCATATTATTCCCAAACCTCCCTTATCACAACTCTTCAACCATATCGCTCACACCTCCATAATAAAACCTCACCTCACACCACTCCCTCCTCCTCCCGCCCTTGCCCCTCTACAATTTCTCCTTCCTCAAGCTTTTTGAATTATCTGTTTAAACCAGCCAAATGGGACCAATACTTTATAGTTCCACCAACAGCCCCTCATTCAGATAACACCCTACTCTTTCAACAATGCCTCCAAAAACAAGTTGGCTAAGTTTTCTTCCATAGTCTTCCTGATCGCTCACGGTTAATCAGTTACATCTGACACTCAAGCCAAAGCACTATCTACCCTTGTTGACCTCACTGGCAAACCTATACCCGTTCTACCTCACCCCTCCCTTAATACATGTACTGGAACTGTTTCCCTCTCCTCAGTTGATTGCCCTCTCCTCAGTCTATGAAAAGGACTGGACAGACTGTGAAAATGACCTGCTTGGTTGCCTCACTGAATATGATGCTGAATCAGTACAATGCTAATTTTGCATGGTCTTTTCCCCCTCCAGCTTTTTGTTTCCGTCCCTTCTCCAGCCCCTTCTACTATCTACTTCCTAAGGTGTAAGAGCCGTGCTGAAAGGATGAAAGGTTGACCTTGTGCCAGTCTTGAACGGCCTGCGAGAACTATGGACATGGTACTCCCGATTTAATTGTCTAGCCCTTACCATCAACCGAAAGGCGGTGGACCATTTATACCACTTTATATAATCAAGGTTCCCCATGAGCAGTAATGAAGATGTAATCCCCTTATTAGGGGCAATGAGGCTTGCCCCTTTATCAAATAGCCCCACGCCAGGCTCTCCTTTGACCATGACTCTGAACATTGAAACTACTACCCACTCCTCAATACCTACTAGTGCATTACCCACTCAAGCAGAGACTCAATCTCCAGAAGACATTCCTACCCTCCCAACTTCTTCAAATTCATCAACTCTACCCCCACAACCTTCATCAAGCACCCCATCCTCCCTACAGATATCTTAAATGCTCTATTTAGCCCAGCTAAATGGGACCGATTTTTCGTGATCCCTTCTATAGCTCCTTACTCAGGCAACACTTCTCTTTTGAAAATGCCTCCAAAAACCTTTGTCCCACAAAACTTTCCAACCAACTCCAATGCAGAAACTATGGATGACATTCAAAGCTATATGTTTGAGACACAAGATCCCATAACTCATACTTTTTGCACACTTGAAGTGATTGCCGATATTCATACCCCACCTACTCATATTCCCCCTGCACCCCTTCCTCCTAATCCCTCTCAACACAACCTAACCCCCTCAATTCCGTCCACCACTGATATCCATCCTCCCGATGCCCATCCTCCTAATATCCATCCCCTCTTACTCATAGTACACCTACACCCCTTCCTCCTAATCCCTCCCAAGACAACACAGCCCCTTCAACTCCAACTATCCATCCTTCCGATATCCATCCTCCTACCACTAATACCCCCCACACCACTTCCTCCTACTCCCTCCCAACACAACCCACCCCTTTCAACTCCAACTATATGCACATTCTCACTCCCTCCATCCCCTCTATCCTTTCCACTCTCTCCCGGATACACGCAGAAATCACTCATGTCACAACAGTGCCCTTCCTCAGATTCCCTACCTCCTGATACCCCTCCTTTACGCCCCCCCCGATAACTCTCCTACATTGGAATATTTGCAGTTTCCGTTCTCACAGACCAGACCTACGTCATCTCCTTGCTTCTTATAATCCATCTATTATCTGCCTCCAAGAGACTTTCCTCACACATCCTCCTATTCCAATTCCCAATTACAACTTTATCTCTTCCCCACACTCCCTTTATGTCTTGTCTTTACTTATCCATCATAAAACACCTTAATATCCTTCATTTGATCTAACTCCCTTACCTAAACCACCATAACCCTTTCCCTTATCAACCCTTACCCAACTTCAACCTTTCAGCACTACTCTCGATAGTTATGCATACCAACTATCACCTGACATCCCCCTTTACTATACCTTCCTATAGTGCTATATGACCTTAGATGTCTAGCACATTTATTTTGCTTTTAACCATTAACCATTAACAACCCAAACGCCCCACCCCATCCTCTCCTACCAGATCCCATCCCACACATACACCCTCAGATTCTCAGATAACGATCTCCTCTTCACCTCCCCATAAAAGATCCTTTTCCCAAACCTCTCTACCCAAATCCCCCCCCCCCCCCAGAAACCCTTGAGGACATAAGACACTTTCTACGTATAACACGAGAAAGTTCCTCCCTCTCAACCATCCATCAATTTCTCTACCCAGATTCCAGCTGCATTCACAGTGACTGCTGAAATCCATCCTCACCCTCCTGACATCCCCCCTACCCCTCTTCCTCCCACACCTTCCCAACACACCCTATCCACTCCACCACCCGTACCTAAACCAAAAACCCTTCCTTCCCTACTATCCCTACCACTCCCTCCTGGATGCACACGTGAATCCCTTCTAGCACAATGTCCTTCCCCAGATCCCACCTTTTTTGATGAACCTCCAGATTCTATACCTTCACCTTTTCCCCCTGACCCCCCTTCTCTTGATACTACACTACCACCTCCATCCTTTGATCCCATACCTCAACCCCCCGATACCTCTCCTCTTACCTCTCAGACATACATTGCCACCCATAATAGTTGTAGAATGATCCACAATGGCTCTACTGCAGTGGAACATTAGAGGCTTTCGCTCACACAGACCTTGACCTCCGCCATCTTCTCTCCTCTTACAATCCATTTATCGTCTGCCTCCAAGAAACCTTCCTCACACATCCTCCAGTACCAATTTCCAACTACCATTTTGTGTCACTCCCTCATTCTATATTTGCTTCTTCCATACTTGTTCATCATAAAACACCATATATCATACCTCCTTTACAAACCACTATACCTAGCACAGTTATCCGGATTTTCCTCCGCCGCTGGATCACAATCATTTCAGTCTACTTCTCTCCTTCCCTCCCTATTGACTTCTTAGAATTTGAGACCTTACTTTCCCAACTCCAACCACCTTTCCTAATAGCTGGAGACCTTAACTGTCGCCATACTCTTTGGGGTGACTCTATTATCAATACAAGGGGTCGCTCCTTAGAACAATTTCTAGCTAAAACTGACCTTATCCTCCTAAATTCCAACAGTCCCACTCATTTCGACTTACGCACTCAATCTTTTTCATGCCTAGATCTCTCTCTTTGCTCTCCTATCCTCCATATAGACTTCCACTGGTCTGTCCCAAACAATTTTCACTGTAGTGATCACTTCCCAATTCTTCTTTCTTTAACATCCTATATCCCAGTCCCAAATCTCCCTCGCTGGTGCTTTGACAGAACAGACTGGAATACCTTTACCTCTCTATCTACTCTTAAACTTCCTCCATCATCATTCTCTACCACTTCAGAAATGCTCTAATACTTCACAACTAAGGTTCTAAATACAGCCTATATAACCATCCCTCGAACATCCCGACCGTACACTTCAAAATGTGTTCCATGGTGGAACTTTGGATGTACGAAAGCGCTTCGTCCGAAGCGCACAGCTTGGAATAGCTACTGACACAAGAGAGGCACCCCCAGTCAACTAACAGCCTTCATATCCTTTATAAAAGCATCATCCAATCTTCGCTGTACAATTCGTAACTCCGTGACAAACAGCTGGCAAACTATGTATCCTCCATAACATCATCCAAACCAATCTCTGCAGTCTGGCGGCGGATCCATAAGTTATCCGGAAAACATCCTCCTCATCCTGCCCCCGTCCTCCATATTCATAATAACCTCATCTCTGACCCTCTTCAAGTAGCTACTGAACTTGGTGCCTTTTTTAGCCAAGTCAGTAGGGGCTCTCATCTTTCTCATTTCTCTTCATTTAAGTCAGACAAAGAGCGCACTCCTATCTCCTTCTCCTTATCATCTACAGAACCTTATAATGCACCCTTTTCTTCTTCTGAGATCTATAATGCACTTCAGTCATGCCGCAACACCCATGAAGGCCCAGACGGTGTACATTACCGTATGCTAAGACACCTTTCTCCTA